CTAGTATACCCCCAAAACCCTATTCTGATTATTAAGGCCCCTATAGTAAGCTTTGATACTACTACTACTAGTACTACTACTACTACTACTACTACTACTACTACTACTACTAAGTACTACTACTACTACTACTACTACTACTACTACTACTACTAAGTACTACTACTACTAAGTACTACTACTACTACTACTACTACTACTACTACTGCCCTCTCAATAATCAAACAACCAGGCCAGGGATTGAAATGAATCGAACGAGGAATTAACATTTATTAGGCGTTAAGGTCTAGGTATATTTCAGGGTTTGTTGTCTGCATCCTCCGGTCCATGGTGCCAACGTGTTATATAGACTTTGACCCCAAAGTGCCTATACAGGAACCCCTGTAATGCGCAAGACTAGTTATGCACAAACCCGCAAACGAAACATCCGGGCTCCACTGGAAAAGTCTCATCTCGCAGCATTTTACGCTGCCTCCACACGGCGCGGCAGTACGCCGCTGACGGTTTCTCGCGTGTGAAGGTATGCAACCTGGGCGGAGACTCTACAGGGGGACACATACCCGAAGGGTCTGACTAACTATATAGTAGAGAGATGTAGAAAGTGACAAGAATTACTACAAGAATTATGGTTTGGGTAAGTATACCGTACTTGTAGGACCCTTTGGGATAGGGTTCCTGGGCTTCTTAAGGGTCTAGGGCGCACGCTTGTCCGGTTTTTTGGGTGCTGTGTGTAATGAAGGGGCCTGAATAATTACCTCTACTATTCTGGGGGCTCCTTAATATACTTACAATTTGATAAACCACACACCCTATTCTTATCATTAAGGCTACCTTAGGCGATTCTAGAAGCCGGCAAACCACGAGACCCCTGATTTAGGGTTTAGGGCTTTTTGAGTTTAGGGTCTAGGCGTTTAGGGTTTCGGTTTAGGGCTTTTGGGATGGACGATGGTCACTAAGAGCTTCAGTAAAACTTTAGGGTTTAGGGTTTTATGCTCCCGTTTCAGATACCGACACTACAAGTTAGTGTCACACCACTCTCCTTTCGTTCACGGAGGCATAGGTAGCGCTGGGCTGTGGAGGGGCGGCATACTACAGCATAGCTATGTAAGGTCCATACGGGAACAGTATTACAATAATTGGAATAGGGTTTTGGTAGGGCCCATTAAAGTATATTATAACCCAAGGAATAATGGTGGTAATTAACGATTTAATTTAGGCTTCTTTATTACGTACTCCAGCCTTTAGATTACAAGAAGTCGCCGTCTCCAACGTAACGAAGCAGGCGAAGGGAAGTGTCTGTGCCTTTAGGACGACATGAACCCAAAAATGGCTTGAGGGTCATATAACATGGGATTCATAACTTAATAACATAAGGCCCCTACAATTATGTGGGTCATTTGGTCCCCAATGTCGGGCAATCAGGAAACGAAGCTGATTGGAGACCACCCTTCAGGACAAGCAGCCACATGTTCCCGGATGAGCGAGTCCTTCATGTGCTGCACCGGTGCTGTGTGGAAAGTCTCGACGCCGTCCTAGGCTGCTGGGCGCAAGCTTCAAGTTGAGTGTACTGCGATATAGCAGGGACAGGGTCTACACATTGGCAATTGGCAGCCTGCTAACCATGGGGTCTAAGTACTGACGTAATAACAAAGTCTGTTTGAACAGTAGGGTGCTTTAGATTCGGAGCTGCTGACAAAAGTCTAAACCCTCCCAACAAATATACGTGCTTATAGGATCCCTTTAGAAGTTAAGGATCAAACACACGCTCTCATCCAAGGCATTGCAGTCTTTGATATCAGAAGTCCCAAACCCAATATAGGGGCCTTCATGATCAAAATGGTTGTGCTAAGTGCTATAGTACGGTTCATAGTTTAAGGAACCCCGATATAGTTTTGGTAAGTACGCGTCTATATGATCTGGCGCTCCAAGCGCCTCGCTGCGAAGCACAGGCATCTCTTTTCTACTGCTCCTTCAGAAGATGGACTTAGGATTTAGGGCTCAGGGAAACCCTAGACGACACCGACAAGTAGCACGATTTTTCGGCCCGCTAAAACTGAAGCCTACAACCCTCAAAAGGAACCCTAAACCCTAAACCCTAAACCCTAAACCCTAAACCCTAAACCCTAAACCCTAAACCCTAAACCCTAGACCCTAAACCCAAACCCATGGATGCTTGCCGGGCGCGCCGGCGACCAGGATGTAGAACTCGCTCACAGCCTTGGAGCTGGCACGGCTCATGTCTTGGGACGTTGGGGCATTGAAGGGCTTCTGTCTATTAGGGCGTAGGGCTTTCGAATAAGAAGGATCTCGAGTCCTCTACAGGTTTACCTCCAGGCTTCATTGAAGCTCCTCCTTTGGTTTAACCAAGTGTATGTTTGGGATCGATATGTGTCCCCGGTTTTTTGAAGGTGAGAATAACACTTGAATAGGGACTGTCAGGGAATGGTGCTACTACATATAAATATAATATCCTTCAAGAACCTTGTAGAACCCCATAGCGCCCCTATGTAAAACCTGCAAACCCTCATATCATAGAGCACTTTGTATGTCTGCCTCATAACGCCCCTATGTACAACCCGCAAACCCTCATATCATAGAGCCCTTCGTATGTCTGCCTCATAGTTCTGCCTAGACTCGATGAGGTACTCGAGATCCGGGTCGACTTCTTTGCCGTCCATCTCCAATTTCCTGACGGTGCAAGTATATAGGGTTTCACGGTTTAGGATTAGGGTTTAGGATTTGTGGTTTAGGGTTCAGGGTTTAGGGTTTAGGGGTGTAGGGGTTTAGGGTTCAGAGTTTAGGGATTAGGGCTTAGAGGTTTAGAGGTTTAGGGGTTTAGGGTTTATAGGGTTTGGGGTCTAGGGCAATCTCCATTCAGACTGACCAGAATGCAAGAGGGCACTTGTTTGGGGCCTGAATTAATCTTGCACAATAAAGTTTCAAGAACATTATGCAGTATACTATACCAGAGAATAGTACATCATAGTTGGACATAGTAGAACTAATTGCGTGATTCTTCAAGCAGATATTACCATCCGTTTCTTGAGGGCTTACTGGGGAACATGATTAATTCAGCGATCAAGCTGCATCCAACATGAGAAGGGGCCGTTTACGTTTGATCCGAAGCCCGTTACCTCAATCCACTATTGAGAAACTTCTGGCAACCAAACGAAAACCTACACAGCACTACATAATCCGAGTACCCAAATAGTATAAGGTTTTAAATCCCAAAATCCATACTCTGAGTGGTTTTCTACTATTTGGGTACTTGGACCCCTAGGGTTAGTAACCCACCTGTGATTAGGGCAAAATGAGCACATTGTGATTTATGCAATATCAATGGTATAACTACGGTTTTGGTAAGTATTTTAGCTTCTGCATCAATCAGAGTAGGAGAATGAGATCCTCGATCCGTGTGGGGGCCTCCAGCCCTAAATCCTATACACTATAATAAGCCCTAAACCCCCCCCGTCTCACGCCTAAACCTGACCTAATCCCGAAACCCGAGTCTTCAAGGGCCCAAGTACCGCAATAACCATGCACCCCTTATAGAAGAAACTCCAAGGAAAGGAAGACTTGACAGGTCCGAGGTGCTGGATGCGAGAGAGCGCTGGCGCGCTGGGTGAGTAGACGACGTGCAGGCCCTGCATCAGACGCTCCAACCCAACAGGGTGTTGGGTTTTTTTGGGGGGTAAGGGTTTAGGGGTTTGGAGTCCAGTGATTGCGGGTTTAAGGGAATTGACGGATTCAGGATCGGAGGGGCTTAGTGCTTTGGGTCTTTAGGGTGCGGCGGCTTAGGGTGTACATAGGGTTTTGGCTCAGGATTTGGGAGTTCGGTGTCGGCTTCCATGGCTGGCCACTGTAAAACCCTGATACCAAGCACCGACACGCCCCAAACCTTGAAAAGGCCCTGCACCCTGGGCGGACGCGCCTCTGAGACATGTGGGAAAGAGGAGGTCGGCGGCGGTGGCCGGAGCATCTCCTGTTAAGTCTGCTGTTGTTGTTTATTATGTGCGCATTTGTCGGGATTATGTTGTTGGTGTTTCTTGTTCTCATTGGTGTGTCTTAGCGTCTTTGCGTGCTCAACTTCCTGTTTTAGATTATTTGTTTAGTCTTCTTCTCGATTCTTGCACCACGGTTGCACTGGATGCAGGCACCCCTGACTCCACTCCCAAACGGTTCAAAGTACCTAATTTTATAGTAGAATGCAGGGCTTCTATATTAAATAGGAATCCGTATTGTGATTTGGGAAAGCATCCCTGCCAACAGTACCTCGGACCCTTTCGGCCTCCGATAGGATCCTCAAGAGAAGGACCCATCAACACCATCTAAAGGACCCCCAATAAGCCGTTGGCAGGAACTTGTCAGTTAACAAAACAAGTAGAGACACCTCAAAAATCAGGTTGCAACCCCAGATGTGCCGAAAACTCGTTTCCCGGAACCCACACCACCTACAGGAACAACAAGCCTGTTAAGTTAAGCACCCTTCGAGAACCCTTCCGGAGCCCCTAAAGGCCCTCCCCCCCCGAACCCTGGACCTTCCCAAACCCTCAACCTTGAATTAAATCCTACACCCTACACCCTAAACTTAACCCTCAATCCTCAACCCTAAACCCTCAACCTTAAACCTATAACCCTAAACCCCGAACCCTAAACCCTAAACCCTCAATCCTGAACCCTAAACCCATAACCCCCGAACCTAAACCCAAACCCCTCAACCTTAAACCCTAAACCCCTAAGCTTAAACCCATCTAGCCTAAACCCTAAACCCCTAAACCCCTAACCCCTAAACCCTAAACCCTAAACCCTAAACCCCTAAACCCTGAACCCCTAAACCCTAAACCCCTCCACCCTAAACCGAACAGTTCGCCTCGAGACCCTGTCGCAAGGCGCGTCCGGTGAGCCGAAGCAAGGCCTGGACTTAAGGCGCCTTTTGGGGTTTAGGGGGTCTAGGGGTTTTAGGGTTTAGGGTTTAGGGGTCTAGGGTTTAGAGTGGGTCTAGGGGTTTAGGGTTTAGGGCTTAGGGGTTTGGGGTTTCGGCGTTTAGGGGCTTAGGGTTTAGGGTTTAGGGGTTTAGGGTTTAGAGTGGGTTTAGGGTTTAGGGGTTCAGGGGTTTAGGGTTTATGGGGTTTAAGGGTTAAGGGTTTATTGGCCAAAGGGTTTAGTTTAGAGGTTGACGGTTTAGGGTTTAGGGGCTCAGGGTTTAGAGTGGGTTTAGGGTTTAGGGGTTTAGGGTTAGGGTTTGGGTTTTTTTGGGATTTGTAGGGGGTTCTAGGGTTTCTTAGTAGGGGTCCGGACATAGGGTCCCTCTCGGGGTGGCTTCAGGCGGGTTTTTAGAGCTTTGGGCTTTCCGAGCTGAAAACTGGGTTGTAGTTTTGGGGTTGGCCCCTGAAGTATGCATGAATAGGTACCTGTATTGGAACCATAATTTAACCCTAAACCCTCAATCCTAAACCCTAAACCCTACATCCTAAACCCTCAGGCCTAAAGCCTATAGAGACTTGGGGATCGAAACGCATAGTCGGGTTCAGGCCTTGAGGTGTTTAGGCCCGGAGCATCTCGGGCTTGAGGGTCCTAGCGTCCTTGGGTTTAGGTTTTAGGGATTTAGGGTTAGAGTTTGGGTTTAGGTTTAGGGGTTTAGGGGTTTAGGGTTTAGGTTTTAGGGGTTTGGGGTTCAGGTTTTACGCTTTGGGGTTTAGGGTTGGTTAAGCTTCACGATACACACTTTCGAGGCTACCAGGGCCATTACAGCACCCCCCAAAGGCCCTCTAATATAGACCGTAGGGTCCTTAATAGTGGGTATTTGGGGTATGATAGAGGTTAGTTAGGGGGGGTCTAGGTAAGTTTGAAACTTGAGGTTACAGGCTTTAGGGACTATAGCGTTTAGGCAAGGCGTGCGTTGCCAGGGACGTGCATGTGGGCGCCCCAACTAGCCAGTGGAAACAGCTTTGCGCATCCTTGTACAATCTGGCCGGCGAACCCTCAACCCTAAACCCTAAAGCAGAAACCTTAAACCTAGTCTCTAGACCTAAAGCCACAGAACCTGAAGCCCCGATCCATACAACCCATAAGCCCCTAAATCCTTGAAACATAAGTCCCTAATATAGGGCTCTTAATAATTAGAAGGGTTTGGGGGTCGTTTAGAGTATAAACATATATATATATATACACATAGGAACTTTAAGGAATACTATTGGTAATTATTTATGGCTTCTATATTAGCCACTCGGGCTCAGGGATGAGAGAAGATACCCACAACTTCTTGAGCGCAGCAGGGCAATTCTTAATGGAACGGGGCTATTCCTCAGGAGTCTTCCTTTGGACCACAAGCAATTTCCTACATCCCTACCTGGACCCTGAAGGACCTATCTCTTTAGGGTTCCTTATTATGGTTTCCTCACAAAAAAAAGCCTTAAAGAGGCAGGTTGTTTAGGGTCCAGGTAAACCATAGCCATAGCCCTACACGCCTCCAAGTTTGAGGTTTTCACTTCGGGGGCGAAGAAAGGAAGCGATGAAAGCTTGGTCCCAGGCTACTCGCTTTGTAAAGGGCATCTCCTCGCTAACGTGCGTCTTGGTGAGTGCCTCCGAGATACAGAACATGGAACCCTACCGTCGAAAAAATGTGGGGGAATTGAACTTCAAACGCCAAAAATAAGAGAACTCGCAGCCTGTTCTGTGTGAGCTCCTACTGCTTCAGGTTCATATTTGACGGGAGTTTGGGGTCGCAGGGTTCCTGTGCACGATGTTGTGATGATGCTGATTTCGTGGTTAGGGTTTATGCAGGCACAACAATACAAGCACAACAACTGCTACCTCCACGACACTCCTAGCACTCTAGTACGTAGCTGTGTGCATGGAAACTAGCAGAAACTAGCATGTTGAGATACTCTATGGCGGCTCTACAAAGAATACATAGCCGCAAAAACAACACGTGTACCAAAGAGCCGAATGGCCTTTGCCAATGTACGCAGCCCCAACTCGAACCCGAATTCAGGGTTTAGTTTCATGGGGAACTACAGATAAGCCTTTGGCAGGGGCTTGCTCCACTAGTAAGACTGGGCTGGTCTTGTGGGATTTTTGTGTATGTGTTCTATGGCTTCGCACAGCAGTATCCCCAGAACACTAAGGTTACCATTTTGCCTGTTCGGGCTGAAGTTGGAAAACCACAAAGTAAAGCGAGTAGAGGGCATCACCCGTCAACCCTAAACCCCTTGACCCTAACACCCGTCAACCCTAAACCCCTTGACCCTAACAACCCTAAAGCCTACACGAAAACTCTGAGAGATGCACCGTATGCGCTGGATACGATCGATCCTGCCCCACACCAATGTCATCAGAGGTTTCAGACGGACATGTTCAATGCAGGATCTGGATTTCCTAAACCCTAAACGATGAACCAGTATAAGTTTTAGGGCAGGGCTTCAGTTCAGAATCTGATTTAAGGGCTCTTCTCGCGTGCACAAAGTCCCTGCTAAGGCATTCGAACCCTTCCAAGAAGGAGAGCAATGCTGGCTACTTTGGCAAACCGTGACGAACAAAATCACGAATCACCAGATCAGAAATTAGGGTTTATAGTGTTCGGGATTTACGTTCGGCGGCTCAGGTTGAAAGCGTTTCTAAGATACTGCATACGGTGTGGGGCTTCGGTTTCAGGCAAGGGTTGTGAAGTCCATTATGGTGCCGAAGCGGCCTTCTTGCGGTTGCGTCTCTCTCTCTCTCTCTGTCTATCTCTCTGTGAACAATCTAAAACTCTGTGGCGTTTGGAATGCTAGCTGCTAGCAACACTCATACGCATGCTAGCTGCGGCAGCGGCAGCAGTAATAAATTATGTGCATGGTTTGGCAAGAATACTAGCTGCGAAAAAGGTAGTAGCAAGTCGGAAAGTTCAATACGATCATCACCACCACCATCATCATCGTGATCAGCATCGTCATTTCATGATTGTCGACCCGCCTTCGCTGCTGCTGCCCCAATGCTGCTGCTGCCGCTGCCGCTACTACCACTACTACTACGGCTACTGCTACTGCTACGGCTACCTTCTGCTACTGGTACTGGTACTGGTACTGGTACTGGTACTGGTACTGGTACTGGTACTGCTACTGCTACTGCTACTGCTACTGCTACTGCTACTGCTACTACCTTCTGCTACGACCACGACTATGGTCATGACGATGATGACTACTACCTGATGCCTCGTGTGCCATGGTGACGAGTTTCACCCAGCCCGGTCCTGGCGGATGAAGCCGCCGTTGATGATCGCCGCCTGGCAGCCTGCGGCTTTGAGGCTTGCTTAGGGCTTAGGGTCTCAGGTTTTGGGGTAAGTTTAGGGTTTGGGGTTTAGGGGTTTAAGGTTTAGGGTTTTCGGGCTTAGGTTTTAGGGTTTTGGGCTTTGGGTTTAGGTGTTTTTTTGTTTGAACGCCTTTTTCCGTCTGCCTGAATAGTCCTCCGGAACGTAGGATTTAAGGTTTTGGGGTCTATAGGGTTTAGGGTTTAGGGCTCATGAAATTCTCAGAGCCTCCCTAAACAAAACCGTCAATCAAGTCATCTCCCGAGACTCATGGCAGGAATCCAAGCATGGCTTTAGGGTTGAGGGTTTAGGGTTTAGGGTTTAGGGTTGAGGGTTTAGGGTTGAGGGTTGAGGGTTACGGGTTTAGGGTTTAGGGTTCAGGGTTTAGGGTGCATTCCGAGGTTGCTCCGTGAGACCCGCGCCTTTACCCCGTCTGGGATCTTCTGAACAACTGAGTGTCTCATAAAAATCGGGGCCTGTAATAAAAGGTGATTAGTGGGGCTTTGGGGTATGTCGGTATATCATGCCCGTTAGCTCTAGGAGTATGGAGCTTGGCGGTGAAGCATTCATGGATCTGACTTCGCGGCGGAAGCCCCGCTTGGAACAGTGATGCACGAACCAGAACACCCCTTCCCTAAACCCTAAACCCTAAACCCAAAACCCTATAGGAGGAGTGATAGGCCAGATCTCTGAATGACAAACCCCTTCCGCTAATAGCGACACCCCAAACCCTAAAACCTCTCAGTTGCTATAGCGACCGACGTACTTCGGTGATGCTTTTAAAGCCCACGAGGGTTTGTGCCGGGTTCGTGACTGGATAAGAGCAGCTTATACATAAAGCCCACCTTGCCTAACCGCGAGTTCAACCGAAAAAACACAAATTCACGTTCAAACACCCCGAAACACAACAGGCCTTGCTCCCGGTAGGTCCAGCGCATTGCATCTGCAACCAGGCAGCCAAAAGCATTCCTGGGGAATTGCAGGAAACGGTGCGGACCCTAAACCCTTAACCCCGAAGACCCTAAAACCATACACCTCAAAACCCCCCAACACCCTAATTAAACTTCAAACCCCTGCACCCTCAAACCCTCAACCCCTAAACCCTAAACCCTAAACCCTGCCACATAATCGGTGGAGCTGTTCTTGGGGGAGTGGCTCACGTGTTCTCAACTCATTGGTGCGCGAAGACAGCTCCACGTCACCGATCATGCAGAGCACCTGGGCCGGGTTCCTTGAAAGGGTTCCTTTCCTGGGCTTTGAAGTAACCAGGGAGAAAAAAGTATAGACTTTTATTTCATAATGGTTCCTTTAAGGAACAGGTCCCAAAAAAAAGTATTCAAGTATGGTACTCCAAAGCCCAGTTTCTTTCTTTGGGAGTCATGGGTTTGGGGTTTTGCGTCTAGGGTTTCGAGCACGGTCCTTACGAGTTAGAATAGGACTTTGGGGGAATGGGCGTTGTTCTTAACTTAAGAGTCTATCTCTAAGGACAAACCTATTCTCAATATTCCGATTATTACGGCGCCATGTGTTGCACTTTATCCATTGCTTGGGGTTAGGGAAAAAATCTCGAACTGCAGAATCGCAAACCCTAAAGCCAAACCTCCTCCAGCACAAAACATCCCGAAACCCCTAAACCCGAACCCCGACGCTGCCCTACACCCGAAGCGAAAAAACCTTAATAAACCCCAAATCCCTAAACCTTGAAACCCGAAAACCTGACGTCCCCGTCAACAGAGAAGCCGCCTCGTCCTCCCTAAATCCCAAACCCCTTAACCCTACAGATTCTAAACCCCTAAACCCTAGCTCCTGGACCCTAAACCCCTGAACCCTAGATCCTAGGGACTAAACCCCTAAACCCCATAAACACCTAAACTCCTAAACCCTAGCCTTAAACTCTAGACCCCTGAACCCCTAGAACCCAGATCCTAAACCCTTAAAAACCCAAGCCCCCGACACCCTAAGACAGGGGCCGGAAAAATTTCAATGGGGTTTCGGGGCCCGTCATACTACAGTTATCATAAGGAACCCCACAAAATAGTATCGGTAATTATTTAGGCCCCTACATTAGAGGCACCTCGTCCTCCTGATCGGTCTTGGAAGCCTGCCACTTGTCCACCACCTGCCTTGGCGCTCAGGTTTAGGGTTTGGGGCTTAGGGTTTGGGGTTTAGGGTCTTGGGTTTAGGGTTTTGGGTTTAGGGTTTGGGGTTTAGGGTTTAAGAGTCTAAGGGTTGGTTTAGGGTTTGGGGTTTCGGGTTTGGGGTTTGGGGTTTCGCGGGAACTCTCGCGCCTGATGGGGGCCATTGGGGCCTGAATAATTAGAGCAGGAGTCCTTTACAGGGATCCTTTAAAGGGCGATAATGAGGTTCTATATTAAGGGCCTTAGTCATTAGAATAGGGTTTTGGGGTATAGTATACTGCTTGCTTAAGGGTTTTAATTAGAGTAGGGGTCCGTTTCAAGGTTCCTTTACAGGGCTCAATGAGGTAGCGAAGGTGGTATTAGAGGGTTTCAGTGGACTTAATCGTTTCTCCAGGGGTCCTTCGAAGGGTTCCTGAAAAGGGTTGAACACTAAACCCTAAACCCTAAACACTAAACCCTAAACCCTAAACCCTGAAGCCTACACACTAAATCCTTAACCGTAGGGTGATATAAGAGTTCGGGGGCCTCAACAAGTAGACTGAGGCTCTAGGGTCTAGGCTTTAGGGTATGGCTTAGGGTTTAGGGTTTAGGGTTTAGGGTTTAGGGTTTAGGGTTTAGGGTTTAGGGTTTAGGTTTTAGGGTTTAGGGTTTAGGGTTTAGGGTTAAGAGTTCTACAAGATTCTGTAGTAAGGACTATAATATTCCAAGTATGTCTAGTACAGGGGCCTGAATAACGACAATAGTTGCTTTTGCAGGTATGTGATAATGGCAAAAAAATCTAAGGAACACACATCTCTCATTATGCCAAGCACCTCTCTCTAGCAATCCTGAAGCCCTAATCAACACCTAAACCTTAAACCCAAAGCGCTAATCAACCCCTAAACTCCATGTTCGAAGCCGAACTGTAATCCCTAAACACCTCTCAACCCCCAAACCTCGTAACATAGGGGCCTAAACAATTAGAAAAGGGTTCTGGAGTGCAATATACTATACTCACAAGAAGGAACCCCCAAAAGTGTATTGGTAGTTATTTAGGCCCCTTTAAAATTCGAAGCTCCGGGCGGAGGAGGGGGGGGGGGAGGAGCCCTGAGCCCACCAAAAGAACTGCAAGAGACTCGGAAATCCCTCATGCAATGTCGGGGCCTTAATGATTGAAATCGGGTTTTGGGCTCCTTTTATTATAGTATAATAGCCCTAAACCCTAAACCCCTAAACCCTAATCATCATAATAATAAGGAAATCTGAGGAATCGTATCGGTAATTGTTTAGGCTTCTAATATGAAGCACTCTGCCTCAAATCAGCCAGAGGAGGCCTCGAAAAACTTCAGGCATTTTTTCATGAAGAATACGGAGGATATCTAAAACCTAAGGTATAGTCTGACAGAACCCTTACCAAACCCCCATCGAAGCTCCTTACAACCCCATAGTAATACTCTTAGGTAAGGGTGTTTTGGAGTTTTTGGGCCGCCGGAGTGCAGCACTGAAGGGTGCGCTGCAGCCATCGAAGTGGTCAGGAACCTCGGGGAACGAAAGGTCCCCTCAAGGTTTCCTAATTTTGCTGAAGCCTGAAACTTGGCTGACTTCTGGACCCCTCCTAAAATTTATGCTTTTCGCCTGAACATTATAATTCATATAGAAACCCAAAGCGCCAACCAGAAGAACGCCAAGGAAACAAAGCAGTGTCTGAACGACTGCAGAAGCCTATAGTACTTTTGGGCTCCTTATTCATCCAGAAATAGTGAACATATAGACGGAGGCTTCAGGGATTGAAACCTCCTTCTGAGTCAGGGCTCAAGTTTAATTTGGGGTGTAGGTCCCTAAAGACGAACCCTAAGTTCAGGGTTTAGGGTCTCATTCTGAGGGTTGCGGAAATTCTGGGATCTTTCACTACGTGTCCTCATGACGTCCACCTTTAGGGTTTAGGGTTTAGGGGTTTAAGGCCCTACTGTAGGGTTTAGGGATGAATGCTGGCACCTCGCCCAACCATGTAACGCGGGTGCTTGAATCGCTACAGCAGGGAATTGTCACGCACGCATGAACGAGGATTACGCTGAAAGGGGAATATGGGTTAATCACTACGTATTCAAGCCCCTGTATGATGTACACTGCAGCGCGATTCGATCATACCTTTCTATGGCCCTTGCACATACTTCGTAACATGACACGGCCACGTGTAAGTGTAATTGGCTTCTGTTCGGTAGTTTGGGGGCTGAGGCAAATTGAGGGGGAGGGTCCCCCAAAGGGAACGAGGGTCTGATCACTAAACCCTAAACCATTGCCCATTTGAGTTCAAGAGCCAGGTTTGTTGTTGTGGTTCACTGACCGCAGCAATGCATTTCAAGTTCGCTAGAGCAGGATTCTGTTCCGGAGCCCCATGAACTTACGTCACTCGTGGGGCTGGGATCCTTACAGAGACCTGCTTTGTTTTAGCACACCACGCCAACAAAAATATGAGACTCGGACAATAAGGCCATAAGATGGAGCCGACGAAGTAGGACCGTCCACATACCGCCTTCTCAAAACGATTCTGTAATTTTATGAAACATTCACAGACTATCAAGGCATCCTGACTCTTTCAGGGTAAGACCCACAATTTTAACACCCCTATACCGAGACCCTAAAGAAACTACGTACCTTTTTAAGGACTTCTATAAGTAAATCATAGTAAGGAACCCTAGGAAGGTAGGTTCTTTAGGGTCCAGGTACAAATCCTCCATACTTGCTCGGGTTGCTTCTTAGGCACCCGAGCTCTGAGGGATAGGATTCGCACCCCACAGCCCGAACCCTAGGCATGGGGCTCCGAGTATGGAAATCGTGAACAAGCGTTGCAAACACTTCCGGGTTGTAGTTCTGGGGCCCCTTACAAGTATTTTCTGAATAATCAAGTACCTCTATAGAGTTTTCAAGTTTCCCCAAATTCCACCTAGATAGGTAAAACCATAGAAAGCTTTAGGTACACTGTGCAAGCTAGCAAATGCCAGCCAAGGAGCTTAAAGGAGTGGTTGATCCTTGAGTGGCTGGCGAAGGCATATAATATCATATGCGGGTTTCTACAAAGCCTTTATCCCTAAACCCTAAACCCGTTTATATAAGTTCATAGGAGTTCTAGAGAGGGTTCTATACAGGTTCTTTAGACGGCTCATGGATTCCACTCCAGGGGTGCGATAAAGGCTTTTAAATCGAGGGCTCTATAATGGTTTCAGAAGAGGTCCTGTACAGATCGACGAAGGTTCTACAAGAATTCTACGCGAGTTTCGGTTCTCGTTTTGCTACAGCCAAGACATGAAGATGCTCTCGGCATGGAGAGCATGAAAAGAGCTGCAACGATCCGTGCAGGGGGGGCAGGTGTGATAAAGCGTCTGTGCGGGAATGATGCAGCAAAGACAGAACATGTGGGGTCTGTGCGGTGTGGCTGCGGTAGGGCCACGGACAAAGCCTCAAGCGCAAATCCTGAAACCTCACCGCCCATCACCGAATCACAAGACGAAACTACCCTACACTGGCAGCAAGAAAGCTGTGGCATCATGATTCCTCAAGCCCTCAAACTCTCACGAGAAAGCTCATCAAGCATGAAAGCCAACCCAACAGAACATAATATTACCACTATACTACTGTTTCCAGATTCCAGCTTGCAGGATTTTTGGACTCGACTTGAAACCCCAAGCAAGCTTCGCTGGTCCGGAACAGGGTGTGCTACTGTCGCAACTGCACACCCCCCAAAGACTCCAAAAACACAACACCCGAAACCGTGAATCGCGACGACTGAAAACTGAGGGTATGGAGTCTAGATAGGTTTAGGGTCTAGGCCCTAAGCCCTAAACCCTAATTTAGCGCCATCAGATTTAGGAAGGTTGATAGGCCCTCGACCTCCAAGGCGCCCCTCGCATACTCTGCTCCCCCCGGCGCTAAGACCCACCCTCTGGGCTCAAAGCCCCAATGCCCTAAGCTTAACAAATTCAATCTGAACCACCCTAAGCCCTAAACCCT